CTTTTAGAGTAGAAATACGTTTACTACGGCTGCTGTAAGATGAAACCAGAGGAACATAGGAGATCTTTTGTGTCGCGGACGATTCCATGTCTTCTTTTCTCGATGTATGGCATTGTGTTCTCTCTGGACCTCTACGCCACTCAAAAGATGTGTGTGAAAGAATTGCACTGAGGTAATGTGCAAAACTCTAGAGCCTTTGTGGCACGAACGAAGGCGATGCTCTTGAGACTCTTGACCACGAACTTGTTATATCTGTTCTCTGATCTGATTGCTGTGAGTAGATTTACTGTGATTTGATACCATTGGTTGAAACTGAGAAAACTCCGATGTAAATAAGCACAACTTTACATATTTCGTGCCGTTTTGACGATCAGCCAGACGGCGAGAGAAAATGAAATTGACAGAGGGTTCCACCTTGATAGCTTAACCATTTGGAAAAAAAGGCAAAATGCAGTGCTTAAAAACTGCTGTACATATTTTTTAATTACTCTCTTCGAATTTGAACTGGCGAGAAAACAAACCGTAGTTTTTTAACTAGAACAGCTATTTCTTAGACATTTTTTGAGAATTTTTCTGGGCAGCCTTTAATAATGTTTTTTGACTTTGTTGTGATAATCTCCTGTCTGATTTTGGTGTTATATAGTCGTTCAGTTCTCCATCATCATCACTCACGGCATGTATAAAGTCTGAAGAATCATGTTAAGCTGCAGAAAAGAACTAATGTGTTTTTCTGTTGAATTGACTCGCTTCTCAGTCAACCTCAAATGGAATTTGAAGTGTAAGTTTTGGTGGAAAGCGGAGCAAGGAATACTCGGAGAAAATCAGACCAACAAATGCAACAAACCTAAATTACATGTCAGATGAGGAAATTGAACCCTGGCCACAGCGGTGGGAAGAGAGCTCACTCGGTCACTGCGCCATCCCTTCTCACGTACATCACTGCATGTTCTCGTTTTCTATTCCTCACTTTATTGACATGTCTATTCCAGTAATTAGTCACATACTATTAAAATCTGGTTAGCCCCTCTCATCATCTTCTTAAAATATAGTCTAGGTAGGAAGTTACGTTCAATGAGAGCAATACATGACGATAAAGACGAGTCGCCAGACTAGCTCAGTCGGTAGAGCATCAGACTTTTAATCTGAGAGTCATGGGTTCAAGTCCTATACCGGGCGATAACACTGGTAATGGTATATTTCAGTTTGTTACTTTAGATAGCTCACTCTATCAAATGGAACTATAGCGAACTTCACAAATCTTTGGAATATTTTCTGCCTTTCTTGATATTGTCATGTGGCCATCACCGATCTACGGTTTTTTACGGCTTAACCCTCAATTCAGACTTAAGCCCACCATAACGTGCAATCTCATGATACCTTCCTGTTGATCGCGCGCTCTCATGAAACGGCAGAAGTTTGGGTAGTGTGAACAAGTCGCATGTTTACACCATGCTCTTTAGATCTCTCCGGCAAAGATCTCACAACCAAGCCTGATTTGAACTAATGCGTTTAGTCAAGTTGTGGAGGAAAAAAAAAAGGTTGTGCGCCGCCCGATTAGGGACTTGAACCCATGACCCTCAGATTAAAAGTCTGATGCTCTACCGACTGAGCTAACCGGGCTGATCTTAACCCCAAGAATAGGGTTAGATTTTCCTCGGAAAGACTATACCCAGTCTAATATGAATTTTAAAAAGTGACCATGAAAAACTTTTGGTGGTGAGCACAGAGCTTTTAGTACTAAAACTGCTGTTGAATGGAATCTTTCTACTCCCTTCTCGTTGCACAACCGTGCAGCGATGTGTGAGCTGCGGAATTAGTCAGTTTGGCAGATTTCTGAATTGAGGATCGACTCATTTATCATGTTTGTCTAACACGACTGTGAAAAGTGAAAAGTAAGAACAAGTAATTGTCAAAGGCAGTAAATTCCAATGCTTAAAACCTATCAATCTCGCATAAGGGATTTTTCGGCTTACATCGTTTGCTATGTTCATATCCCGTATGCGATCTGTTGTAAATGTTGGTGGATGAAGAAGAGAGTCTTATTTCACCACAGGTACATTCGTGATAAGTTGAAATGATAAGGAAATAGATAGGTAAATAAGATATAATATCATGGGGGAACTGTAACTATTAGTCAATCATCGTAGGTAGTATCATGCAGTTTAATCCGTGGTAAATGCAAATCATGAAGCCACATGCATTTCGTTCAACCGCCTCGTTAGCGCAGTAGGCAGCGCGTCAGTCTCATAATCTAATTAGATATCTGAAGGTCGTGAGTTCGATCCTCACACGAGGCATTCATTTTTAAGTACCTACTCTAAAAATTTTTACGGGAGGCAGCGTGGCTTTGATAGGAAAAAATACAACCTCTTTACTTGTCTGCCTAGCAAAGACCAAAATGATTATTGTTAAATTTAGTCTCTATTAAAGTATTTTTGACCTCAACATCTCTTACCATAAACTTTTCTTACTAAATCAAATTAAAATGTTTAACCATTGACCCTACAGAATGGGGTTACTTCCGCCCGGAAGTGAATAGTAAGCTCGACTATGGCTCTTGAAACTGCGTAAGAAGGAATAGCATCTGTGCTATCTGTTTATAGTCAAATTTTTGCCGAGGTCGGTTTCAAAAGCTGTCTACAGCATCTGTCAATCTCTTTATTCGGGTTTGCTTAACTCAACCCCTCCTTGTGTTTAGATGAGAGTATGTAAACACGGAAAAAGTTCTCCATTGCTAAAAAATAATAGAATGAAGCAGAAAGTTTTAATAGCGACGTCATCTATGCGTCTGTCCTACAAAAGATGATAACCAAAGAGAGAGCCAATCAAAACGCATCGCTTGAGAGACTTCTTCCGTGCTGTTTTGCCTTGTAAGTTTGTTTTTGAATTTTCCTCGGGACAACGGTATTTCTTTACCACAACGTCATCTGTTCTACCTTAGGTCTTCTTCGCTCTACGGAACCCAGCCGCTATCATGCCCTGAGCCAACAACAAGGATTGAGCAAGAAAAAAAGTGTTGATGCTCTGCCCGATATGGGACTTGAACCCATGACCCTCAGATTAAAAGTCTGATGCTCTACCGACTGAGCTAACCGGGCTGGACTTGACGCCTAGAACTAGTACCCAGTCTAGATATGGATTTAAAAAAAGGACCCATGAATGGAATCTCTCTACTCCCTTCTCATCGCACAACCGTGCAGCGATGTGTGAGCTGCGAAATTAGTCAGTTTTGTTAGATTTCTGAATTGAAGTTCGACTCATTTATTATGTTTGTCTAACACGCCCATGAAAAGTGAAAAGTAAGAACAGTTATTTTCAAAGGCGGTAAATTCCAATGCTTAAAACCTATCAATCTCGCATAAGATATTTTCGGGCTTACATCGTTTGCTATGTTCATATCCCCAATGCGATCTGTTGTAAATGCGGCTGGATGAAGAAGAGAGCCTTATTTCAATTCACCACAGGTACATTCGTGATGGTGGAAATAATAATTAGCGCAGTAGGCAGCGCGTCAGTCTCATAGTCTAATTAGATATCTGAAGGTCCTGAGTTCGACCCTCACACGAGGCATTCATTTTTAAGTACCTAATCTAAGCAACTTTACGGGAGGCAGCGTGACTTTGATAGAAAAAAATACAACCTCTTTACTTGCCTGGCTAGCAAAATGACCAAAATTAATATTATAATATTAGATATTAAATATTATGTAGGCAGCGCGTCAGTCTCATAATCTTAATAAATATCTGAAGGTCGTGAGTTCGATCCTCACACGGGGCATTCATTTTTAAGTACCCTATCTAAGCAATTTTACGGGAGGCAGCGTGACTTTGATAGAAAAAAAATCTTGTTTGATTATGAGACTGACGCGCTGCCAACTGCGCTAACGAGGCAATCTTACCAACATCTTTTGATTGGAAAAAGTAGTTTCTCTCTCGAAAACTACGGTCATATTGGCAACGATATTCGTTAATAGAATGGAACAGCAAAAATTTACTTTTTAACTTACTGACTGTCACGCCTCCTGGCCTCGAGGATGAAATCAAGTAATCGATTCAACTAAAAACCATATCGTCGCAGTAGTGGGAATCGGTAAATAATTCAATTAAACTCTGAAAAATTAATTTCTATAAACAGAGTTTCAGTGAATAATAACGGTTGGCTTAATTTTTTTACCTTGGGATATGAAAAATTATACTGAACAGCTGGTCCGGTGTAGTTGCCACAGAGGCTTGCAAGGAAAGCAAAATTCTGCAAAAAGGAATCTATTACGATGAAAGAACTGCATGTGCAGTCGAATAATTTCAGAAAAGTTGATGAAAGGAAATCATACAGAAGAACATAGAATTCTATTACTAAAGAAGTTTTTCACGTAAAGAACAAGAATTACTTACGTAACCGTCCAGATCAAGATGTCCTTCTCGCACAAAAGACGAAACACATGATATCTGTGCAAATGCGATCAAGAAAGCAGCAAACTTAAAGGAGTAAATCATTGCTTTTATACGCTCAAGACACGCCAAGAACAAACATACTCCGATCGTTATTTCACATTACACACTTCAGTAAAGCCTCAAAATTTAATTATTCATGGCTGCTTAATAAGTCACAAATATGCAAATTTACAACACAATACACTAGCATACTCTTGATTACAGCTATAGTTTCATAAATTTGTAAGCAACTAAAATCTGCGCAAAGATTTTAAGGATGTTGATGAAGGGATGGAAAACCTTTAAGTAGATGGAACCGACTCTCACAGAAAATAACACATTCCAGAACTTTGATTCCTTTTACTTTCAAATGCAAATGTTACTTATCCGTAACCTGAACAAAGTAATCTAAGAAACTTTATCTCTTCCCAGAAAAAACATAAAACTTACATGAGGTCTTCTGTCAAGTAACAGATCAAAGATGACGTCAAAATGCTTCTAATGATGACGTCACCTATGCGTGTGTCCTCTAATAGATCATTTGTAAAAACAATTAAAACGCGTGTATAATCGTGGATAGACACAATTTTTATTGCACCTTTGCTTAAAAACTATAGTACAACATATCATTTATAACATAGAATTAAAACATCAAATAGCGCGAGTTCGATTTGAAATCACATGTACAATTTTATACCAAACTTGCACAACACTAAGTTCAATCGCCACTAGCTTTAATACGACCATGTTAAAGTCCTGGTGTTAATTTCCCTACAATTTTAATGTTTAACTTTGAAAAACCTACAAATCTGATTTTTTTAACTTTCTAGTTTTCCAATCTAATTCACAACGAAAAAAAGAAAAAAAAGCTAGTGTGATTCCTGAGTGAATCACACGGCTGAAAGCTAATCAGATTGCCCACGAAGGAGTATGTTACAATGCTCAAGTTCAAGAACTAAAAAGTCGTCTAATTTTGCAGTTTCACAGCTATTTACCACTAATTTGTTTTCTTTACGTCAAAAAACAACCAATAAATTTCCTCATTATGTTTAGTAAATTGTACTAAATTGTAATTAATGTTGATTATAAAAAGATTGGTGCTGACTTGAAGTAAAATATACTGTTTAAGAAAAGTCGACAAGGAATACTGGAATTTCATCCAGAGCACGTTCCATTGCTGCATCAGATCATCATCCGAAGAGCCTGGATTGGCCTTTGTCTTCATTTAAGCGCCATTTGGAAGTTCTCAAAGGGTTTTGCATCATCTTTCGTCAGATCGATGGAGTCCTGGAAAATAAAAAGAAAAGAAACTCTTCGCTCAAGAGGGCGCTGATTCATCTTTACTCTCAGCTTAATGTGACGTGTTGGCGAGATTGGTGGGCCTAATGATTTTTCTTCAAGTCCAGGATCCCTTGAGAAGCGAAGTCTGAGTTTTGTTCAGTTAAAAATTAAAATATATATATACATATATACATACACGCATACATGCACCCATACACGCATACATACATACATACATATATATATGAAAAGTTCTGTCTGACGAGCGCTTAGGTGCGAAACTCTGAGTCACATAGAATCGATGCGTCCTCTTTAATTCTTTAACTTACGTATACTTAGCTCTGCTACCACAGCACTTGAGCACTTTATGCCAAGGTAGACTCTAACCCCACATTCATTTATATATATATAATTGAAGCTCAATAAGTCGCGCAGTTTAAGTGATAGTCTTTTTTTTCCGGTGATTGATTTTTTAGTCGATATAACTTGATTCTATGCTGCATCTAACCTGTTTTGAACCAGGACTGTCTGGTTTCTCGTAAGTCTGATCACACGTCCCAATGCTTCCTGGGATCTGTTGGTGATCTGTCACAGGGTTCCCATTGTCTATGACACTTTCGTCCTCCATGCAGTGACCATGATTACGATGCCCTTCTAAATCTTCTATTAAAGTCTCGTAGTGTTTGGAAATCTGGAATGGAATTAGGTAATTAATACCGTTTACCTTCAATTCAGCCTTAAAAAAAATGGCTTTGAAATACTTCACAAGATCGCATTAACTTTCATCAACGGAGTCATATAAACACCACAGTATGGCGCGGCTAAATTTTTGGTCCATAACACAGGGGTGTAGCCAGGATTTTTCAGAAGGAGGGGGGGGCATACTGTGTCACACAGAGGGTACTCCACCCTGTGTTTTACTTAATGTGACAAAGAAAGGCTAACAAAGGGGAAGGGGGGGCACGGGCACCCCAGGACCCCCCTTGCTACGCCCTTGTAACATCGCTGATTAAGACACGTGTTTTGCGAGTTGGAGACTAACTCCACTTCATTCGAGACAATTATTAAGCCATAGCAAACTATTCGTAGGGTGAAAGACCTACAAGAATACTAGAAATATTTACCCTTCTTTCCTTCAGTTTTTCCATTTTACTCAGCGAGAATGCATTGCCTTGCTCACAATCTCTATAGAAATAAACAGAGAGAGAAAGAGGTAAACGGTCGATCGTGATGATTTGAAGACGAAGAACGGGGTGAGAACGTGGAAGATGAAAAAAAAACCCGAAAAGGCGATGCTCTTACTCACGAGAATGCATGGCGTGTGCAAAGCTCTGGAAAAAGAACAACGCAGCGAAGCGACGCAGATTAAACACAAGAAAAAATTGTATACTTACATCTTAAAATCTGTCAAGTAATTCGAGGGGAAAACATACCATTGCTTTGATTATGTTTCATGTAAGAAAGCCTCGGTAATATTGGCTGAAGTGAAACCGTTAATGAAACGCAGTTTGTGCCTCGGTCAAGCGAGTGTATTATTTATTGGAAGGAGGACAAAATGTTTTTCGAGAATACTATTGAGTAAAACGGTCTATTTCAGACCAATGGAGATCTGGTTGTCGTGGTTGGCATACTTACCCGTCAAAATCTGTCACTTTCAGACCGCGGCAGCGAGTGACTGAAAAGCAATTGATTATTCAAGCTGTTATTTACTAATATTTAGCTGTTCATAACTAGTGATGTCATTCGAGAACATACATACTTCTTTTTTGATATGAGACACAACAGCAAAGCCTCAGAATTTAATTATTCGTCACAACAAAATACATTGACATAGATAATTTTTAATACTCGTGATTACGGCCAGAGTTTCAAAAATTTGTAAGCAACTGAAATGTACGCAAAGATTTCGATATTGGTTTTCACTACTGTTTAATAGATGGAAACAAACCTTCGCGCTGTATGATCACTTTGGTTTCAGTCTCACGATAACTTTTCGAAATGTACTATCTAACAATTAATAACCGAATTGGAAGTAAATATCTACTGTTTTCACCGACATCGTAGCAAATAATGGTTTTAGTATATGCTGCATAGAAACCAAAAAAATTTGTTTGTCCATGTCAATATACCAAAAATGGTCGGAAATTAAATTGTTGGCAGGCAATTTTGTTCCTTCGGCTGCTCGGAATAGAATAGTACTTACTGCTCCCATCCGAACCAGCCAATCACTGCGCGCGAAAGAACACTATTCACCTGTCATGTGGTATATACTAAAATCGACACCAAAAAGATCCACTTACTCTTTTTAGATGCTTTCCAGGACAGGAAAAAAATTATAGGCACTGCGAATGCCAGCAAGATAATCCACAGTGGAAGAAGGTAAGCAAACGTATCCTTTTCGCTTTTTCTCTCGGCGCTGGATCCTTTTAATTCTTAATGAGAAAGGTAGAAAAAATGCGTTAGTAGACAGTAATTAAAGAAAAAACGAATCTTCATTAAAACATCTCAAATTCATTTCAAACAGAGATAAACACTAGATAATAATTAGAGCAACTGTCGTCATCTGTAAGGGAAATAGTCTGAGGAAAAGAAGTGATCCAAGTCGGAATTATAATGTAAGATTCGTCTAAAAAGAAAACGATAGATGTTCAAATCGCTTGATAGGAACAGAGAACGTGCACTCAATTGACCTCTCTGTGCACCGTTACGAAAACTGATAACACACTTATAGACATAAATCTATTTCATTTTTTTTTTAATCAGTCTGCATCATGATAAACAACGGTTCTCGAAAAATTTCTAGACCTTATGGACATTAAAAGGGTGAAATATATACCTTGTGTTATTACAGGTAACTCCGTCTGAGATACTACAGTGCTGCTTGATAATCCTATAAGAAAGTCACAGATGATTGTGTCTTAGAACGGGTATGGATAGCTCGGATTACTGAATGTTATTTTTCCTTATACTCATCACTTATCTGGTTGATATCGTATTGATATTGTAAGGAGAAATTGTGTCTTGGTCACTCATGGGAGTGAAAGGGTTTACTCAAAATGTTTATTGGGGACTGGGATGGGAATGGTGGCTGGTTCGCGGAAATATGATTATCGTTTCATCAACTGTCACTAAAAGAAAATTTTCTATCAGTTAACGAGGTCTGCACTCGACTAATTGGACCGTAGTACATGAACTTAATCTACAGTTTTCTACATCAATAGGCGACGAGAAATATTGGCTCTCCATGTGGATGAAAAGCAAGGGCATCACAAGGCTCCTACCGCCCCCTCTCTCTCCCCCCCCCCATTCACTCTAGCAATTCTTCAGGTTTCCAGCCGGGTGGCCATTTTTCTCTTGAGTTAAGAAAGTGACTTGGTGCTCTGTCTTCTTTGCCACGTTTTTGTTTCACTCGGCTTAGAAGGCTTCATGACTTAAAATGCAAGATCGGCAGTATTTGAGTCCCTACCTTCTGATTGGAAGTACGTAGTGTGTCGTAAAGTGACTGCAGTACTGGACTCTGCCGTCGTACTTTCTTCTGGAAAAGTGAGATTTGATTTAAGAAAAGATTAAGATTTGATTTAAAAAAATTTTTTCTATCAGTTAACGAGGTCTGCACTCGACTTGTTAGACTATAGTACATGAGCTTGTTAATCTACAGTTTTCTACATCAATAAGCGATGAGAAATGTTGCCTCTCCATGTGGATGAAAAAGCAAGGGCATCAAAAGGCTCCCCCCCCCCTTCACTCAAGCAATTCTTCAGGTTTTCGGACGGGTGGCCATTTTTCTTTTAAGTTAAGAAAGTGACTTGGTGCTCTGTATTCTTTGCCACGTTTTTATTTCACACGGCTTCATGACTTAAAAGGCAAGATTGGCAGTATTCGAGTCCCTACCTTCTGAAGGGGAATACGTAGTGTGCGGTAAAGTGACGGTAGTGCTGGACTCTGTTGTCGTGCTTTCTTCTGAAAAAGTAAGATTTGATCTACATGAGCACAATTTTTGAGCTTTAGATGGTCTCTTGACTAGCGCAGCTCTCTGAGGTTGAAGACATCACGTAGGTCTTTGCTATGCGGCATTAACTTAAGCCACCTTACTTGATAATAAATTAATCAATAACGTTATACATGCCTTTATCAACACGTATCAGTTACCTTCAGGTTCTTTCGCAGTGCTAAATTGTCTCTCCATCAAAGACAACCCTAAACTCTCGCCATACTTGTTCCAAGCTGATATGGCCGCCGAGTAGTTTCGGTCCCAATCTAGATCCAAAGCATAACTCATTTCTGTAGTATTCCAGGAACTCAAATGTTCCTTGTGCGATGAGCCATTTGCCGCGGTTATTAGTACCCAGAGATGCACGATATAAATCTTTATCGGGCTTTCACCATTGTATGGTGTCCTCCAATGCAGTGAACAGCGTTTTCCAACAACACTGATGTTTGATATAAAAGGTGTGTCTGGTGGCCCTGGCATATCGAGGACAAATAGAGAGAAAACCAATCTTAACGAAGGAACTCGACCTATGAAGTATTATGATAAAAAGGTATATAACATAGCTTGCGTTTTCTAAGTCGGATGATTAGAGGATCGTCAAATGCTAAGCACTCTGGATGAAAATTAGACTCGTGATCTTCTGGGATCCTTCATTCAAGGTCTAACTATCTGGGCCGTTTTTGGTTGATTTACTCAAATGGAAACAAACTTGGCTCCACATAATTATCAACATGTAGAATGCAGCTGCTCTAGGACGGTAACAACCCATTTTGTTTTCTTTCCCAAATTGCTATGACTATTCTAAGAGTCAGTGTATTTCAGGCAAAAACGGATGAATAAAGCAACTGATCCAGTTAAACACGATTTACGGGGCTGTTATTGATTTTTATCGTTTATTGGCTTTGTCGACGAGCCACTCCCGCCGATTTTTTTTACCAAAAATATAATTTTTTATCCGTTACTTTTGTATGACAATTTATTGCACCTGGTAGAAGAGTTGTTGCGCTGGTGTTTGCAAACTGTCCGTAGCCAGCTTCGTTTCTTGCCTGGATGAATACAATGTACGTCTTGTTTCTTCTTAAGTTTTCAATAAGTAGTGATGTATTTCTTATTCCGGTATATTCATTTTCTTGTCTGTGTGTGATACTATCTATAACCTTTATTCTGTAATCCAGTATTTCAATTTTGCTGTCCTCAATTGATGAGTGCCAAGTTATGTTTAACGCAAGAACTTCGGATATCGCTTTTATATCGGGTGGGTTTGGTGGGTCTGCAAAAGAAATATCGGTTTGTTATCAGCAGTTGAGATAGGTGTTAAGGTTGTTCAACAAGCTCAGTGATCGATCCAACACTACTGACTTGTTCAATTGACTTTCCAGTTGAATACGACACAGCTGGAACCGAGCAGACTCTTCTAACTGCCTGGATGTTTATACTGTATGCTCTGGAAACAGATTATCTCATCGGCTGACCGACCGATCGAATGGCAGACTCAGTAGTCGACCGAGCGATCGTTTGCCATGACCGACTGAGCGATAATTTAACCGACTGGATAGCTGAATAACGGAATAACTATATTGAATGATCACCAGTTTGACCTTCAGAACCTACTACATCATGACATCTCTCTGGCTTTCTTCTGTCTGTCTATTTAAACTCTCTGTCTTACCACGAAAGACTGACTTAAGTAATGTTTACGTTAAACTAAACGATTAACTGACTGAATGACAGACCAACTGACTGACTGACTGACTGACTGACTTATTGAATGACTGACAGACCGACTGACTGACCGACTAATTGGCTGACTGGCTGACTGACTAGTGAATAGAGGGGTAAGTTTCTGCAGAAATTGTTCTGCTGCGTCTATCGCTCTGACGAAGGGCTAACGAATGAAACTTCAGCTTTGAAACTCTTTACGGTGGCCAATTTACATTACCAACTCAGTTGATAAAACCAAAATTATTTTGACCTACTGACTGACTGGCTGACTAACTGACTGACTGTATGACTGACTCATAATTACTGGCTGGCTGACTTACTGGAAAGCTGGCTGGCTGGCTCTCTGGCCGATTGACTAACTGACGTACTAGCTGTTTATGTCACAGGCGATGACAAGCTTTTTAATTGACAAAATTCGTATTCCTTACCTGCCTCAAGCGTTCTAACAGTGCCATTTGCGGACTCTCCATAACCTACAATATTTCTTGCTTGTAAGAAAACGATATAAGATCTGTTTTGTTTCAGATTTTGAAAGCTGAAGAACGTTTGTTTAATTCCATGATGCTGCTGTGTCATTAGGTAGTTTTCCTCAAGTATTGTAATTTTGTAATCAAATATACCACCATCAGTGTCGTCTTGTGGTGCATCCCATGACACATTGACGGACAGCACGTCTGAGGTAAATTTGTTTATTACGGGCGGCCCCGGTGAGTCTAAAAAAATGTTTAATAGTAAAATTGATTTCATGACAGATAGAAGTTAGCAATCATGTACCTTAGGTGAAGCAGAGCAATTTTCAAATGGCTTCCGAAAGAAATCACTGATTTTGAAGGATCGTCTCTGGTTTTATTGCACCGCGTTTTCTGACTGGGGTCGTAAACGCCCTCCCCCTCTCAGCCAATCAGATCAGCGGCCAAGCTTAAAGCCAATAACACACACCTACGTTAGATTCTTATTGACGCTTTCATTGTCAGCATTAGCTGCTTCTTACTGACACTTTCATGTCAGAATTAGCTGTAATGATCATTTTGGTTTATGATATTCAGTCGAAAAGCACTCTTGAGGATCATGGAAGTCCAACAAAACTGGCAAGAGATAAACCCTGCTCTAATTCTTTCTTTTAAGGCCTTATCATGAGGCCAAACCATCAGAAATAAGAGCCTCAAACTCTTTGGAATGCTAAGGAATCCTTCAGGATGTTTGAACGATTTGCTCTCTTAGTCCTGTATTGCAGCAGTGTTGGCAATACGAAGAAACATATCGAAAAACGATGAAATGGAAGTGGATTAGGTAAATTCCAAAACGTAGCGCCGGTAAACTTGAAATTAATATAAAATGTATTTTGGAGACTTTCAGCAGTGACGGAAATAGAAACAGCTAAAAGTAAATAATAGTGTTAACACTTACAGAGGCGCTCCACTGTAATATTATATACCATTGACCCTTTCTCGTTTTCAGCTTTACACGAGTACAAACCAAAGTCGCCCATAGTCTTTGGAATCAGCATCAGTGTACTCATGCCATGCATGAAGCGAACCCCGGCTAAAATTGGTTGACCATGTTTTAACCAGGTAAAATTTGCAGACGGATTAGCATCCACTGCACACTTTAAGGTTGTCGTGTGGTTAATCCAGGATTTTATGAGAGGATCTGTAGTTGCTGTCTTGTTAATGTAAGGTTTATCTGAAATAAGAATTTGTTTCAGAAACAAAAAATGGTACAATGCTTGGACGGGGTGGGGGATAGACCGATTTTGTTGATAGAGATATCCTATCTCGGCTCCCTATGATGGTTTTGGAGTATCCCACAATGCATTGTTATTATTGACCGCCACTTTTCTACTTCTTACAAGGGTGAGGAGGAGGTCCCAGGTAACTCAAACCAGACTCCCAAGAGTCCAATGTGAAGAAGTTTATCGGCTTTGCGAATATTAAAATGTAGTTAGAGCTCATGGTATCATCAGAAACATCGGGAAAATTTTCAGCTGCATGCATCAAATGTAACAGCAAGTAATGAAAGTTTCGATGGGGGTCTACGTGCCGTGAAGTTTCTCGTGAAAATGTAATTCTCTTAATTTACATGAAATTGCTCTACCACGTCTTTTTCAATCTTTTAAAGTTAGCAAATGCGCAAAGCACATGATATGCCTGCTTTAATCCCCTTTCCTGTTTCTATGACTCACGAGTACATACTTAAACCCTAACTCTGTGAAGGATTTGAACAAGCTGATATGAGTATTGAATGTACTTCTGAGAAAAGGAGTTAATTTCAGTTAACTTACATCGTACGACCCTCACTTGAACGCTGTAACTCGTGGAGCCAGCTTGGTTCGCGGCTGTGCAGACATAAGTTCCAGCATCTCGCAATTCTATTCTTGGAATTTGAAGCGTAGGCGTTGAGGTGCCATTTTGTAGCGTTTTACCATCCTTAACCCATAGGACACTTGGGGTAGGGTCGCCTATTGCGTCACAATGTAGTGTGACGTTAACTCCTTCTTCAACATCAATAGTCTTGTTGGATCGATGGGTTATGGTCGGTGGAACTGAAACAAATTTAAGCGAGGGAATAGCAAAAAATGGTCGGTTTTATCATTTACTTTAGAACGTCACGTAATATTTTACTTCAACTCCGCTCCACTCACGAGAAAAGAGTACGAAATATCGAGTTAGAATAAAAGGGGTAGGTTTCTAAAGAAATTGTGGTGTTACAATGATGATTTGGGTTTATCATATAAACTGCTATGATATAAAGGAAGTCCAGCCTTGATAAAAGCCGTAACAACACACGTGAAAAAAATACGATAATTTTTCACGTGTGTTTGAAGCCGCGGCCGATCAGCTGAGACACATCACTCGCCTTTCGCGCCACGATTATGGCTGCTAAAACACTGAAAAATTCGTATCGCTTACAGACAGTGACGTTCAAAGTTTCCTAGAAATGGAAGAAAACCAAAATATGAAAGGAAAAACCGAGAGTTACGAACTCAGTGGCTTTAGTAATGTCGTTCAGTTTCTCGCGGCTGAAAACAAAAATCGACCATTGGAAAATATCTCGAAGAGAAATTCCATATCTACGCGCACCCATGTAATATTCTCTATTTATAGACTGAGTCCATAAAGCGTATCAGCCACCGAAAACAGTTTCTAAAACTGACGTTTTGAGTGTTAGCCATTCGTCAGAGTGAATGATAAAACCAAGTTATCTGGTTGAAATTTAACACCGAAAAATAATTGAGAATGCTCATACTCACTGAGAACGGCCAGTTTTATGGGACCACTCCTGTAATCACTCCCAGACACATACGCTGTACAACCGTAAGTGCGAGTTTCATCTGATTTTGTGACATTCTTGAAGATGAAATCAAACAGACCGCCATGTTGACTGATATTTCCGGCCCAGCTCAATCTAGATTTGAATGAGTTGTCGAGTTTTGGGTTTTTCTGTGCTAACCCGCTTTTCCAAATGGTGATGTAATTATCCAGGATCCGGTCGTTTTTATCCGTTTGCCCCCATACGACTTTTTCGAAATCACCCAAGTTTCCAAAACTGAAATCCCACGAAAATATGGCACTGGATCCCAAACCTGCAGACACGGTACTAGGAGGCTCCTTTGTAAATTTTGTTTCTAAAAGAGAGAGGTGTCTTTTTAATTTCTAGCACGGACAAAGCAGCAGTTACAAGATAGTAAATTGCGAACGTTTTAAGCTATGCACGTTTTCTTTTCTCACAAATGACTTTACCTCTACGGAGACCTTATTGAAACTTATGAGAAGGGGGAGAAAGGCGCACACAAAACGATGGGGATGGGGCCGGAAGGGAACAAGGTCCTCTTTTTCGTTACCCCTCCCCTCCCCTACTTCAAACCCTCTTCCTCAAAAAGAATATTTTATGGATTCATCTGGTTTTTTTTTGTTTTCGGACAAGTCTCCTTAAATACTGACTAGATAGACTGAAATCGTTTTAAAATACCTCGTCAAATTTATCAGAGCAAGCCAAGTACATTAAATCATATAGTTTTGTTCAACTCGAGAAACTTACGGCTGACAGTGAGTCTGAAACACAGGAAACAGAATATAAATACTGCGGCTACTGCAACAGACGACATCACTTTCGGAATTAGAGTCTGTAAAGAAGAAATAGATAGTTTGAGAATTTATCTTGACCATTGACGATTCAAAGCAAACTTCGAAGCCTTGCTAGCTCAAAGCATTCATGCTTTGACAGCCCTTCGTGCTGTGGGTAACGAACTATTCAATACCGACACCGCTATGATATCTATCGAAGTTAAAAAAAAAAACATTCCATCTCTCTAGACTGTCAAACTTTTGCAACAATTGCCATGGCAAGTGAGTATGAGTCAGGGACACATGTCACTTGACATGCCAAGTTACTGTAAACAAGATTTTAGCAGAGTCATGGGCTCAGAATTTTACCGTCTATAGTGTAGTATCAAAATTTATAAATGGCACGTACGTTTTAAAATGAGTAATTTGCAAGTCTATTGCTCGGTTGTGAATCCAAAACTGCAAGAATTTCTGTAGAACTATATCATAATTCAGACAATACTCAGTTAGACGTATGCAACTTATAGACAATACTGCAAGTTGAATACAAAGACCTCAAGACTGGGTTGAAAAGCAAATACGTGATCTTAGATGACGAAAAACGAAGTAGCTTACCGTCTTTTAAAACAGTCTTAAACTTTGAAACCGAGTTGGTTAGTCAGGTTCAGTTTTGATTGAGTCATTTTGCACATACCTCTTCTCATATAGAGTAACAATGAGTAATCAAAGTCCGCTCTCCGAGCCTTCTCAAGTGCATGCGTACGTAAAAATTCACGGTGTCGTGCAAACAGTAAAGTGCTTCTTTGCTATCTTTAATGCAGGCATTTAAAAGATAAGCTTATGCACACTTAGGATGAGATGTTCTTTCCGCAAGATACCTCGTTCTTTTGTCACGTAAACTAAATAAAATTGTAGCTTTTGTGTAGAGTCCAAGGTATACGTGCCATCACGAAAGAGTCTTTTCTCTCGAGATTAGCGAAGTGAAGTGTCCAGTGATGTAAGCCCATTTAAGCCTCGAGGGCTGTCTGAAATCAACTGCACTGTATGCAACTGGAACAGGACCAGCCGATTATTAAAATAATGAGCCATCGATGGCATCTAATACTGGATCATAGAGAAGTCTTCCAATTTACTATTCAGCAATGTCTTCATGTATTGATCGATGGGACTCACTTGGCTATAAATGTTGTTCTCCTTAACTAGAAGGAATCTTAATTCTAAAATTACAGATCTTAATTCTAACACTATAGATCTTAATTCTAACATTACTTACAGGAAAGAGACCTGAGAATTACGGGAATTAATTAATTTTAGGTACTCCGCGGTCTATTGTGGTAGTCTAAATTACCTCTGAAGGATCGGCTTTGATCAAATTCAGCAAACGTAACTTTTGACCTATTCTTCAAGAGCAAGCACGTGAAGCTAGGATGATGTTTCGAACAAAGCAGTTACTGCAAGAGAAAAGGAACTTATCCTGAGATCTTGCGAATTAAACTACTTTACGTATCATGTTAAACGGATCACTCCTCAAACAAGTTGGTGCGTTTGCACAAGACACTTGAAATAACTACGTCATTCCGTTTTGATTGAAAACACAGAGGTTTCAAATTATTTTAACGGGATTGAAATAGAATTTATAACTGCAAGAAAAGCACAAGTTCCTTTGTATACCAATGCTATAAATCATTCGGTGACTAAACAAATGTTTTGTTGGATCGTACCCCACGCCATGTGCTCGCTTAAGTTTTAAACATTCATCTCTCTAAAGCGCTTAGCTGAAATTATACTCTCTACTCTTTTAATTGATTTTAAATTTGTATTCCAGCACGCAATTCTTTATCATGGTAGTAATACTAACTAAGAGAGAACCTCTCCTCTGAAAGTCATTTGGAAACCAAAGCAAGCACCACTGCTAAAATAATGTGTTAATAGGACTGACTGAATTTCAACTTGCACCTTATTCTTGGTCTCGCGAATAAAACTGTTGTCACGCAAAAAGGGTGCAAACGTAATTTCAGCGTCGGAGGTGGATCGAAATCCATCCAGAGAATCCATCTAGAGAATTCGCAAGACTGGTAATTATTGTTGATGAGTTCGTGATGATAGTTACACGAATGGCATAATATGATTAGGACCGGCGAGTTGTGTGTCGGAATTTTTCTTTCCTTTGTTTTTTGTTTTTTTTTATTATAAAAAACTGTGAAGCTCGCAGCAAACATGCAAGTTCAAGTGCTTGATCATCTTAGTCAAACAAACTTAAATTCCATTTGCGCAGCGTGAATAGGGAACGTATTTGATTTTCTGCTAGTGTACAAAATCTCTACATTAGGATAGCCACATAAGTTGAGAGAAACCAGGAAAAATAGATACATGTAGCATGTCTATACATGTGTCTCAATTCACATTTTCCGACGTAGATTAGACAACAGAGTATGTAATCAAGTGTGTATTTATATGAGTAATATAACAGCTGCACTTTAAATCTGATGGTCGACGAAGAACTGTTAATCAAAACTTCAGTAAAATTGTATTTAAAAACTATATTTTCCGTCAAATTTGCAATATACATGTTTAACAGTTTCGGATGTCAGTCTTTCTCTTATTCAATACTGTTGAAATGCGAATTTTCAGTGGAGATATGCAGCAAATTTCTATCGAATTGAGGATTATCCGAGTGGTACTATGCCTGATAAAACATGAAATAAAAGTTGATGCGCTATGATCTTTGTTCTCACTGAAGAAAATAATATTTTCACTACAGCTTAACCAGTGTTCGTTACGACGAAGATCATTCTTATCTTCATTTATCTATCCGCATTTAATTTCGAATGAATGATATTCATATATCACAGTCGTTCATTCGCCGCTTACGTGTTTATTACGAAAGAACTGAATGGCTTATTAGCCCAGTTGGTAGAGCGCTGCATCGGTATCGCAGAGGTCATGGGTTCAACTCCTGTACAAACCTATCATTTTTTTGGGAGGCTTTAATTTCACTACTGCTAAAGTAGTGTTCATTACTGCAAAGATCATTCTTACCTTCAAAATTAACTGTGGAGGCCGAATATAAAAGCTTCAATACAACACGTGTCCTTCATAACGATCCCTTATGTATCAAAGCCCTGGCACAACAAACAGCAAATAGAACGTTGCGTGCATTGTAAGCCCAAAGGTAGAGAAAAAGGGCATAGAATTAACCTATAGACAGCGACACTATGGCACCTCGAGTCTGTTGATGCAATTTGAAAAACCAGGATGTGAAAAAACCTTTGTATAGCGAAGCTTCACCACAAAAATATTGTGTACGACCCAAGTGATATTCTAAACACTCAGTTGTATATGGGAAAGTGTCTGAACCCCGTTTGTAACTGAACTAACAAATTTTGCCGGCCTGTCCCACGCACTTCGTTTGATATCAAGCCAAGTTTCACTGTGAATAATTTTGTTCAACTCTTTGCTCAGTAATGGGCTTGCTGCTCAAAATTGATTTACAGTAATTTTGCATGACCTAGAAACATTTTTGTTCACAGGCAGCGTTAAACTAAGTACTGCAGTTGCCAGAAGTCCATCTGCGACCACCCATTGTGCGTTGTAAGCGGCTGAGACCACCTTAAATACTAAGAAATTTGCTGAGGACCCATCACAGTTCAAGTCAAAACTCTCCAATCGTAGAGTTTATGCTTAGCACAAATATTGGGCACTTCTATCGATTCTTAATCAAATCATTATCATCGTCATTGTGCGTTGCCAACCAACCTCCCATAGTCACAAGGGCTTCGTATTTAGGGTTTCCACTTAATGCAAAACTTTCGCTTTGTTTTGTCTATTTGAAACTCTTCGAGATTAATCGGCGCAGGTTTCCTGAACTAACGGACAAATTTTTGATCCGCTGACAATTTTTTAAGTCTGGCCACTGTCATCCTCTGTTGCGTCGCGCAACAGTAGTTGCCGGAGTGATAAACAGTAAGAGCGCAGATTCCAGAAACCTTAACCGGCCGGGAAACGAAAAATCAGAATTCTGGATCAGATAAAAGACCTCTATGAGGACTGAAAGTGATGAAAAGAGAAATATCGCAACATACCTCTTTAAAACATTTCAGGATACTTCCTCGTTACAACGCCTATAACCGATACCGAGATGAAAAGTTGACCCTTATTCTTAAGACGCTAAAAGTCACTCGGCAGACGGCTTCAGCGAGCTTTGGATCTTTTTGTTACGTAAAAAAAGGGTTCAGAGGTTACAAGCGAAGAAAGCAAAATATCTCATGAGCAAAAAAGTGAAAAAAGCTACTTTCTCATTGAGCTTGCGTGGAGTTCTCAAATGAACCGTGGTTGATAATTAGAAGTGTAGTTGCTCTTCTCAGTTAGGCTTGCAATTAACATTACCGTCAGCTTGAATTTTAACCCCGATAGAGAGAAACGTCAGATTATTTCTATGGACATTGAATAAACGGCTGGAAAGAATGTAAATTTTTCCCATAACATTTTTTTGCGAATAAAGAAAAGGAAAGAAAAACAAACGCAACAAAGCGGCTTAAGTCGATCCACGAACAGAAAATAAACATAATATCCTAAAATAAAAATAAACAAAGATAACGTACTCACAGCTAAAACTCACTTTGCTGACAGCTTTTAAATTTCTGAAACGCGGTATCTAGTGACAAAAGTTCGCGAAAAAATCTTTTCCCATTTAGTTTTAAAAAGAAAGTCTTTGATCACTCCACGAAAAAACCTCAGCTGCTGATTTTCAGTTACACCCAAGCAATTCTGAGTAAGCCTTTTATGCATATATAACAAAGCGTACTCTGTATTGTACTTTGGCCGTTCCATAAACGCTCGAGAAGGAGAGTTTGACGCTGACTTAACGTCACAAAGCCATTAAAGTTTTTAAAAAGTTTTTAACGCTCATGTTACCAAAACTTTTAAAACTCTTTAACTCGATCCGATCATGATCTTGTCAACTGCCTTCCACCTCAGCAGCATTTTTAACATTGAGAAGCTAAAAAATTTCACTCGTCTTTCAACAAGAGCAAAATTTTCAGCGTCATCTAATTGTCACTATTGGCGGAGCAGAGAGGAGACCGGTTATGCAATCCCATCTATCGCGCACGAAGAAATCTTCTTGGGATTCAAACACTAACAACGTTCAAAACTAAAGAATGGGTCTCTTCGTACCATTCTTCATGTCTATGTCCATTACCTTTGCGCCGCAACACACGAAGTCGAGGCTTACTTGACGCCATCGCATTAAGTCGAGGCTAACTTAGTAAGCGTAAATGAAGTCCAGGCTCATTCGGCACAATCCAAGAGACTATAAACAATTCATAATCTCTTGGCGCAAAAACATTATTAAGTCAAAACTTACCGGAGGCGGAAGAAGTTGAGCCCAACAAAACGGCTTCCTGGTCAACTTTCTTCTGAAAGCAATTCAAAAAATGAACAAGTTACCAAACAACTTTAATTTCCTTGTTGCACTTTTCTATTTGCCTTCACTTTTCTTCTCGGTTTTTAAAAACCAGACTCACATCAAGCCGTCAGCTTTCACTACGGGATTTGGCGCCCAGGGCGGTATGATTAATATCACTTACTAACCTCGTTTTCTCGGTCTGTACTGTAAGTTATGGAACTAGCTTTTTTCGCACGGACTTATGGCCCAAGCGCGAAGCGAAGTTCCATGACTAACAGAAAGGACCAGGAGAAAGGGGTTATTAAGATATTTATTTTATCCCAGGTTTCAAATGGAGGGAGAAGATTTAAAATCAAACAAAATTTTAATTTAGCGCGCGGCACAGTGAAATACGGCCCGCTAAATTGACCAATCATAGCACACCTGTCCCGATTGTGCTTGGCAACTTTTGATCAACTTTTGACGTTTGGAGAAATTGGTTTGTTATCGAGGGTTTGTTATTACGAAAACCTTGATTTGACAAATTTGCGGAAAAAGATCCAAAATGTTCGTCATATCGGAGGATAGGATAGTTGTTATTTAGTTTTATTTGATTTTATTTGATTTTTGTGGTGCGACGTCGCGCTAATCAGCATTTTGGGATTGGAACGATTACTGTAAATAACATTTGTGCTTTAATGTCTGTATGACGCTACAGCACACTGTACAGGATGTGCAT